TTTAAAGCCCCCTGATAGCCATCCTCTGCTGTTTGGATCCATATCGTCAATCCTACATAAGTTTCTCCACCATAGAGATCCCCTTTGGTCATCCACCTTCACCCAATCAATCCATCTACCCTCCAAACAACCATACTTGTGCTGGATAATGTTGTACAATAGGCTCTCCTCCCCACTTGCAAGTCTACCCCACCACTTACCCAATAATGCTAGATTAAATTTTCTGAGATCTTTGACCCCGAGCCCACCCTTCATCTTGCTGCTACAAACTTTGTCCCATGAGACCCAGTTGATTTTTCTCTTGCTCCCTTCTCCCCCCCATAGGAAGCTTCTGCGGATTTTATCTAAGGAAAGAATCAAACCTTTTAGGAGTAGGTGTACAAACATGGTGTATACTGGGAGGCTGGACAAAACTGTATTGAGGAGTGTAATCCTTCCGCCAAGAGAGAGGAGCCGGCTTTTCCAATTGCTCAATTTTTTCTCAAAAGATTCAATCAGTGGTTTCCACATTGAAATCTTCTTCCCATTGCCACCTATTGGAACCCCCAAATATCTGCATGGAAATGCTCCTTGCTTGCAATTCAATATGTGAGCCATTTTTAACATCCATCCCTCTAAAACATTTATTCCTACAAGTTGGCTTTTCCCAAAGTTAATTTTCAAACCCGATACCAACTCAAAGATTCTCATTATACTCTTTGCTGCCCATATGTTGTCCTCCTCGGCTTTCCCAAATAGGATTGAGTCGTCCGCAAATTGCAGATGGGACACTTTCAAACCTCTATTGCCTATATCAATTCCGTCAAACAATCCATGGTTGATTGTTGAAGAGATAATGCCATTGAGGCCTTCTGCAACCAACAAAAATAAATAAGGTGAGAGTGGATCACCTTGTCTGAGTCCTTTGGTAATTTTGACTTGTCTAGTTGTGCTATGGTTGAGTAAGATCGACGCCTATGCCGTCTTCAGACATTCATTAATCCACCGTCTCCATTTTGGTTCAAACCCCATCCTCGACATCATGTAATCAAGGAATTCCCAACATACCTTGTCGTAAAAAAGGAGAGGAGAGAAAGGACTTTTGTCCAATCTTTTTTAATTTAGAAAATATTCACCATTTTATAAGTCATTTTAGTGGACCCTTTACCTATGCAAGAGATGAATTTTTATATACAATGAGGTTCTTGACTTATAAATTGGGTGATTTAAGTCAATATTATGACATCAATGGATTAACTCACATTCCAAATCAAACAAAAATAAATGATACAAACCCCAAAACTTCGGTCATAGATAAGGACTTTGATATGCTAAGCTGAAATAAACAAACAAACCAAAATAAGCTGTCACTGGAGAAAAACAGCCATTAAACGAAGTTTAGTTTCTTAGCAAATAAGGATAGTTGGATACTAAACAAAGCCAATGTGAATTAGAATTATCTTTCAAACAAACTACCTTGACCTAAAAGGGCCAAACCTTTCCAATTCCAACCTACCTCTTTATTAAAATCAACCAATCAAAATTAGGGAAGAAATAGATTACAAGATAGACATTTTTTTTTCTACATCGGGAAATTATTTTTTACTATTTTTTTAAAGGGTTGGGGTAAGGGGATGAGACAAGTTCGAACATGAGATCAAGTGTCTAGACAATAAACAAATGGTATCCTTTCCTCTATTTTTTTTTCCTTCTTTTTTTTTTTTTTTGAACAATTTGTCAAGAGGCGGGCTCGAACCAGCCCAAAAAAGAAAGATGAATGCACTTCAAGGTGACAGGATGCCACTTGACTTTGGTTAGGTTTTTTTCTTCTTCTTCTTCTTCTTCTTATTCTTTTTATAAAAAAGAGAAGAGAAATTTGAATTGAGGGTGTCATCATATCACAAGCCCCAAACCAAAGTTTTGGTGACCCCACTAAAGAAACTATCCCATGTATAGTAAATAAAGCCCCATGAACTATATATATAACCAACTAAACCAAATTAAGAAAAAATGTCACTTGGTAGAGGCACACTATCCTATCTATCTTCCTTACATTTGTTGGCCTACCAAACCATTATAACTTTTCATGAAATTAATATTGCCAAATCTTCTTTCTATCTTAGCTTAATATCCCAATATTATTTATTATTATAATCCAAAATGTTGCAAAATTAATATTCCTTAGGTTATATATGCATAATATTTTGTAATATGAATATATGTACTTTAGTGACCAAAAAAAGAGGGGGGGGGGGGGAGAAGCGGATCTGCCATTTCCGGGTGCTTAGTTGACTTACAAAATACAAAACACAATTAAAATCCATGGAAACATAAGATTATCGTCAATGGAAAGGAAATGCACGTCAAGTTTTGTATATTTTAGTTTCTTCCTACACAAAAAAGGAAAGATATTTCCTGTCTGTTTGTATCGATTGGAACAAAGTTTGTGTCTCATCAAACTAAGTAAATTTATGAAATTTTATTATCGTTTACACATAGGAGATGATGACTGATGAGGACATAAAGTTGTTTGATAATAAAGGCTACATTATGAAATTATGGCCATTCCTTAAGAACCCTAAGGTTGGAATAAATCAATTGGGTAAATTTTAATTCCCCTTTTTTTTTTCTTTTCCCATTTATTTTTCAAGAATTTGGTTAGAGCCAAACATGACCTTGAACTAACGTGTGCTTAGGTCCACTCGAGCAAAAATAATTGCATAAATTACTATTCCCTCAATAGCTATATGGGTTGAAGAAGTCCATGAAAGATTGGGCCATGAGGGGTCCATGAGCCTGTAGATGAAAATGATGATTCATCATTTTTCTTTTCGTACAATATAATTGGTGATTTTTTTGATGGGATATAATTGGTATTTTTTGGTACATAAAAACATCATGGTTGTTGATGATAGTGATCTTACTAAAATGATTGCACTAGTCTATTTTAAAATTAATTTTTTTGGATCATTTTAAAAGTTATATTGATTTTTTATATTAAAAAAATTATGTTTTTAAGTATTAATCACAAGACTTGAATTTTAAAATTAATTTTAAAAACTAATTTATTTATTAGTAAATCTAGTTAAGATATTGCTTATAACCATGTATAAAAAACCATTGCATATTTGGCGTTTGTGTGAAAGTAATTAAATTCATCTTTGTGAAAGCAAGCAAATTCAAAAAAATTGTTTTATAATAAACATGACCTGCACGCGTGTTCATAATTGAATAGTCAATTATTAATCTAAATAAGATGTTACATTCTTTTTATATTTACTAAAATATCTTTCAATATAGTTTTTATTCTTCTACCAAAAAATATATATATAGTTTTTATTCCGAAGATATGTACCTAAACAAAAAAAAAATCATTTAATATAGATAATTCGTCTTTTATCAAGGAAAAACACCCTCTCTCTTTTTTTTTTAAAAGAAAAATTAGGTTATACAGTCAAATATCTTTTTTGATTCATTAACTAATTCTATGACTCAAATCTATGACTTAACACTTTTATTAAAAAATTATTATTTAATAAAAAAAGTATGCAAAATAACTAGTTAAACTAATAATAAAAAGATATTTTCTTAATAATCAGTGTTTAAACTCTTACTTTTTCTTCTTATCTCTACCCTTAGGAGAGTTTCAACCTACTAGCCTATTCTATTAAAAGAGAAAAAGAAAAAGAAGAAGAAGAAGAAGAAGATTACCATTTAATGGTTTATATTATTGGCAAGATTAACCCCTTTTTTTTTGTATCAAAAATATAAAAATTAAGATGTCTTGACATTTAAAACATTCATCATAATCATTCATTGAGTAGATCCTATTCTGAGACCCACTTATCAAATCATTATAATAAACATTTTGAGTCTTAATTTTTCATATCCTTTTTTCATATAATACTTGTTTAAAGTAAATGAGTTAATGGCGGAGGATATTTTTGTCCAAAAGGCAACTTGTCAGCCCCCTATAAAACCAAACAGGGCCTGACAGCTCACAAATTGCGGTGTCTATCTCTATTGGGCACCAAAAGTGGGGTCCATTGGGTCATGCAATTAAAGTCTGATAGTTTGAGCCATTGAAGTCTGATGGTTTGAGCCCAACCCTAACCTCTCTCCATGTTGACTGACATTAACATGATTGAGATTTTTATTTCTTTTAAATATTTTTTAATTGTTTTTACATTTTGGAACATAATAGTTTTTTTTTTTTTTGAATTTTTTATTTTATAATTTAAATTATAAAATAAAAATTATTGAATTAGATGATAAACTCTTAATATTAGAAAATTTTTGCCAATAATTAAAGTAGTTTAACAATTATTTCTTTTCGTTAAAAATAAAAAATGTTAATTTTGAGTCACATAATATATATGGATAAAAGAGAGTTGATTATGTAATCAAGATAAAAAAATAACACAATTAATTATTATTTCATAATTTAAATTGTACCATTTAAAATGTACTATATTTTTTTATTTTTTTATTTTTTTAACATATTTACAAGGACCGAATTTAAACCAGTACTCAATATGAGGGAATGCATTTTAATATGGTTTAGTCAGTCCAAAGGCCGAAGTGCGTACAAATATTTTTTTTATTTATTTTCCAAGAAGTTAAATTATATAAATATTTTGCATCTTTAATGATGTTTTTCTTTCATGGTGAGAGGTCAAGTTTTTAACTCTGGAAAATACCTCAAAACAAAAGATCTCCAACTCCAACCCAATTAGATTGTGTTGTGCTTGTGCATGCATTAACCTACACCAAATAAATAACAAAAATGCGGAGAACCTGCTCAATGTGTCATCCTCACAGCAGTTTCCACTTTTCTGTCATTTTATTGCCTCAAATATCAAACACCCTGCAGAAGTGGTCAAGATAGATCAGGTAATCAAATCAGGTTCCCTGTAAGAAAAACTGGGAAAATGATGGGAAGGATGAACATTGAACAAAAAACAAAAAACAAAAAAAGAACAAGGGACTGCCGACAAACAGAAAAATTATTCATAACTTGAGTATGAAAAAGAAATATATTAAGCTACAATGTGCAAGAAAATTTTGACATAAAGAAGGTAAAGAAAATTGGCGTACATTTCAATTTCATTACATATCATCTTTGCGCTAACAAAAGTAAACCATCAGAACAGTGATTGGGTGTTGGAACAATTTAAATAGGCTGAAGTGGAAATTGAAAATACTCATTCCTACAGCATATTCAGGCACTGTAAAGAACCTTAGTCAACTTGAGTGTAAAACAGGATCCAGGTTGTAAGTGATCCGATCCCCATTTTCCTTGCAAGAAATGATTTTCTAGTAGTGGTGGCCAACTAGTCGATAATGATGAACAACGAGAATTTAGTAGATGAAACAATCTTGATTGCAAGTGGACTGATATCAACTTTCAAGGAACATTCATGACTTGGATAGACTGCAACATGTCCGATACAGCTATCACAAGGTCACCTGATTTGATCATTCCTCTGGCCTTGAGTAGTGAGAAGGTTTTGTTGAGGTTGCTTTCCATATCATCAGAGAAACTAAGGCGGAAGGGTATCAGACCCCACTGTAGGTTCAGGCGCCTCCGCACAGAAGTTGTGGTTGTAAAAGCAAAGATGGGGCAGTCTGGTCGACAACGTGACAAGAGAGATGCCATATGGCCTGTCTTCGTGTAGACAAAAATGGCATCCACCTCCAAATTGTTAGCTGCATATCACAACCCAATTTGCATCACTATCATTAATAAATGAAAACCTTACAGTTCTAAAGGTTTTGAAATAGCAGGCCCAATTTGATTTCCATTAAGAACCTAAAATTTTTGCCACATCTTTGGGATATTTCTACCAAACACAAACAGGAAAAGGGGGGAAGAGAGGGCAACGTTATTAGACCAAATCAAGCATCACAAATTTTTTGGCACTTGGACTTTCTAGAACAGAAAAGCACACCAAGTTTGAGGTAACATTAAACTAATTTACAGAGCTACCATATGGAGCCCCAATGACTCATTTTAAATAAGCATTGCTTGAAGAGAAATACCATTCTTGCTATTTAAAGAACTCAATAGACAACCAGCAGAGACACAAACAGCAATTAGTTTGTATCAAAACAAAGGACTTATCAAAATTCAAAAGTTCCATAACACAAAACAGCCACCTAAAATAATTAGACACTAAATGCATAAATTCATGTAGAAAGAATAACAAGCATAAGTATACCAAGTCCCTGAATTTACTGTAGAACCAAGGAGTACCTACCCATCTTGGCAGCAGAATTGCAAATCTCTTCTGATATATTATCTGCAAATGAAGTTCCCACATCTGGAAGTTCCATTGCTTCATGGCGTTTCTCCTCCCTCCACCATCTCTCTATCCGCAGGCTAACACTTCTCAAAACTGCCAATGCCTTCTCTGGATACTGTCCCATAGCTGACTCACCAGAGAGCATTAAAGCATCTGCTCGCTGCCTCACTGCTTCAGAAACATCAGCAACTTCAGCTCTGGTGGGTGTAGGGTACTCAATCATAGATTCCAGCAGCTGAGATGCAACAATCACTGGCTTATTTAGCTGCCTGCACAGCTGAACAACCTTTTGCTGGGCTGATGGAACCTGTTCCAATGGGATCTGAGCGCCCAGGTCTCCTCTAGCAACCATAGCCCCATCAGATGCTTGAATAATCTCTTCCAAATTCTTTAATGAGTCAATACTCTCTATCTTTGCAATGACAGCAATGTCACTGCAGAATGACATTAAAACGCCATTGTCAGCTTAAAAATGTGGAAGCATGTCCTTCTCTCATTAGTACTTAACGGTGATAAAAAAAGTAGCTCTAGGTGAGTCTCATATCTTATCCCAACTTTTGAGAGTAAGTTGGTGTAATGGTAGCAGTAACAGTAGAACCACAATATTCAAGGAACTGACATGGAACACAAGGCAATACAGGCATATATATCAAAAGTATAAGCTCAAAAACTCTTGTTAAGTGCTAGAGCTAATATAAGGAATCCATACTTCAATAAGCATGCGAAATCCTGTCCAATGCTTGCTTACCTATCCTGTGACCGCGCAGCAATATAGCTTTTAAGATGATTAATCACTTCGGCAGACTTGACAAAGGATATTGCAATGAAATCAACACCTTCAGCAATCCCAAAGTCAATATCCAACCAGTCCTGCAGAAAAGGAAGCTAGATCATGCCACTGTGCATTATGTTTCTGTAACAATTTCTTCACAACAAACAAGTATACCAGCATTGTGGCTATGAGTATTTAATGCAAATAGGAGGTTCATCAGATGAAGTTCAGATACACGTGCAGGCATGGATATACATTCAAACACTCGAAATGAATAGAATAATTTGGATGAAAGCATGTCTTCTTCAATAAGACTCCTAAACCTATCTCTTTAGTTGCTAATGCTCATATTGTAACTTGTAAGGGATCCAAAGATAAATTCCAGATACAGCTTAAAGGTATCTCTAGTTCTTCAATCAACAGGTGACTTCAAATATTCAGTTAGTCAGCCATCTTTTAT